TATGTACAAAATAAATGTAGTATTAAAAACTGGGTTTCTCAAAATTCATCATAATATATCTTTTCAACCCCAAACGGCAAAGAAAGAGAAAAATCTAGTATTGGCAATTCAAGTTTTTCACGTGAAAGATCATATAATTAAAAACAATGATAGTAAAAGTTATGATTAAAAGCTAAAGTCGTCAGGCACTCTGCAGTTAGCTTGAAGCCTTATGAAATATTATTTAAGGTAAATTATTTAAATTTTTCCTATTTCAATTGCATAAAAATGAAATTATGTGATATTTACTTTTTCATATTAATAGCACGAATTCATCTTTTTCTTTTCTCTAATTTATATGTAATCTTTGGGAACCTATAAAAACTACACTATTTTTTGCTATTATTAGCACAATTAAATACGCAACATGTATTTGCACCAATTTTTGATAAAATTTATGCGTAAAAAGATAGGTCCAATTTTGTCATATTTCGCCGCTACGCACGCTGTCATCAAGATACCCCTACCATGGTCACGCACGGAGCGAATATATTATTTACACAATATCTGAACCGTCAAACTCCAGGGATTAGTTAATTTAGGTTAAAATTCCTTTCATGGTTATGAAAAAATCATTTAAATCACACACCTGTATTTTTATCGTTCTATTTTTAATAAAATGTCTCGTAATAGTCGGATCACAAAAAACATTTTATTGCTTTTGAATTTACAAATTATAAGCCATAAAAAAGTCACAAAAAAATTACCTTTACTTAAAATCCCTATAAATTGCTCTTAAGAAAGTGTCTCATGACCTTAGTAGGACACTCACATCACGCGCTATCTACGTATACAAACAAATTCTCTGTTTAGTCCGCAGTCGAACAACACATCACTCCCTACATAAAATTAATTACGCCCTACATAAAACAAATTGTAAAATCGAAGTGTTTGTAAAAATGAACTGTCCTTGAATAAAATAAAAATACTTAAACTCACAATCTACAATTACTTCAACATCGAATTCTACCAGCTTCGACGAAGATTAATTAGAGTCTTTCATAATCAACCACTTCGTTCTCGTCTTATATTGTGGAAAAGGAACATCCACAACACCTTAACATACCTTTAAAATACAGTGGGTGATCCAATTATTGGAGCCACCTTGTAAAATTTAACTTTTTGTTTAATAACTTGAGAGCTATAATACATATTTTGGTATGTGCTTGAGAGCTATAAAACATATTTTTGTGTTTATTTCTATTTTACTGTGATTTAGCAGTAAATTGTTATTTTGATTATAAAATTTACAAACATTAAAAAAGAGATGGATGGACTAATACTGGGTAGTGTCATCCTTTACAGCAATGACTGCCTGGCACCTTCTTGTACTTTCTATGCATTTCTGGCAGTTTTGTTGAATATTTTCACCCTTGTGCCATATTTCTTTTAAGCGTTCGATCAGTCGACGCTGTGTGGCGTCTAATTTCATTAGATTAGATTTCATTTCTTTCTTCATTAGCTTTCAAAGATTTTTTGTTGAGTTTAAGTCTGGCGAATTGTTAGACCAGTCGAGCATCTATCTGATTGTGAGGAATTCTGTAACAGTTAAAACTCTTATTCGGGAACCACTTCAGAACCTGCGGAAGCATTTTTGTTTACAGTATTTCCAAGTACAGCTCCTATTGCATCGTTACTTTGACTGAATAGTCTACCAGGTCCTTGACTGCTTATGATGGACCACAACATGACAGTGGGTGTTTTATCATCCTTGCAATACAATTCTCATTCAGCATGATAGTATCGAGCTCTAAAATATGTGATTATATGGCCTTATTAAATTATGATTTTTTCAATTACTATTATGTAGGAACACATTGTGACAATACAGTTGCAATTAAAATTTTTTTTAGAATTTTTAAAATACGATTTCTATGAAAATTGTCATAATTTATTAAAAAAAAAAGTGGAAAATACAATTAAGAAAACCCAAGTAAAGATTTATTCATCATAAATAGATTTGCATAACATGAATTCAATACTATTATTAAATCATTTGCAATTGAAAAAATTAATAATAATTTATCTATATATGAGATTGGCGGTTACTCGATGAAAGTTTTATGTTTAATAATATAATATAAAACAAATATTGTTTTTAATTTCCACAGAATATAGTAGTCAATTTGAAGAAAAATTATTCTTATTAAAAACCAGATGTTTCAATGAAACATGTCAAGTTGACAACATTTTGTGGAAACTAAAAACAGTGTTGTTTTATGCTACCATAACCTTCTACCACTGACGTGTACTTTCTGAAACATAACTACGGATGTGGTGCCATGTAGACCCCATGTAATTTCTATTTAGTATTGCCAACATTTTTTAAAAATATGACAAATTATGTTTAATATAATTTCTTTGATATATTTTTCATTAGTGTATTCATTTTTTTTATAATATTTTTCCAAATTGTTAGTTCTTAAACATATTACAAATTACATGTCAGAATATCCTAAATAATGAAACGGTTTCCTAAAAATGTTGTAATTTTTTTATTGTTTAAAATGTTTATAAAACAGTTATGGAAAATTAAAGATCAAATAAACGAAATATGAAAAAACAAAATAAACCAAAAAAATAAAACCCCCCTTATAAAAAACTACAGCACCCAAACTGTAGCAATTTTATAATTCATATAAAAAGTTACTTTGCACATTCTTTACAAATATTAGCTCTACAGTTATCACACATTGATATCTTACAAACACTACATGAATTCTTAGTCTTTTTATCATTTTTTTGTGGATAGGGCCCAAATCTTTTTCGTTTTTAGTTCATATCGGGATGCACGTTTTCATCAATCATCGGTTTGTTCAGTATTCTACTGATGTTCATTCTCAATTCTCTTGGAAGTCTTTGGTTGATAATTCTTCTGTTCAAATGTTGTTCAACGAGTTGTTTGGCAAGCAGCTTCACAAATTCTGCCCGTAGTACGTTATTTGCTTCTGGATAGCTTTGGTGTAATTTATATGAATTAACTCCTGCGATGTCGGTGATGGAATAAAATACCGCTATAGGTCAACACCTAGTACGTCTACTTGAACTATAAATTACACATTTTTTATCCAAAGCATCTACGCCCCCTTTGGTTTCATTATAAAAAACAATCATTGCAGGTTTGCCAGTTTTAACATCAGTGTATTTTTGTTGATGCATCGTAGAAACTAGAAGTACAGCCTTGCTTTTCTTTGGAACATAAGTCATAATTGTAATATGTTTAGTAAAACCCCAGATACAACTCCCTACTTCTCTCTTCCGGTTGGGCAAAAATTCGGTGAGAATTTTTTTCTTGTTCTTTTAAGCGTACCTACATACGTTAATCCTCTTTGTCGCAACTGACTTGCAAGTTCAATTGAGGAGAACCAATTGTCTGCAGTTACATTTCTGTTGGTATTTATAATAGATTGAATAAGTTTTACCACTGATTGGGTTGGACAGCCAAACGTCTTTCTTCATCCGTTAATAATTTGCCATCGCTGTAGCTGCGAGTCACAAACCTATAACAACAAAAATAAAAAATTGCGCGTTATTTTAATTCAGTCGAGGGTCATATGGGCACCAAGTCCGTAGTAGAAGGTTAATAATTTTTCCATTTCCAATAAACAATAAGATCGATTTTTTTTTTAAATTGCCTTTTAACATCAGAATTACTATATTTTAAAATACATCAAACCCTTTAATTTTTTTATATTTATTTATAAAAACCCTTCTTCTGTGCTTCAGGGTGTCTCATACTTCTTCCGCTATTCTTTTTATCGTACTGATATCAGATATACTGCACCAGTTTCTTATTTCTCTGAAGCGTGAATGCTGCGATCGCTAAATCCTCTTCGACGTTTAACTTTACTCGTCGAGATTTATATTTCGTAGTGTGTTATTTCGTAGAATATGACCCAAGTATGAAACCTTTCGCTGCATAACGAGATCTAACAATTTTCTTTTTCCTTTGGGCATTAATTCTGGTTGAACAATCTACGTGATTGGTATCGATGCAGATCGATTGATTTGTTTAAAGCGGCAAATTCAAAAATAAAAATAGCGATTATGATTGCCAACCTCAGTAGACAGACAGCACTCTAAGAGGAAGAAGGACCTCATCATTTCTTATATGGTCCTAAGCAGCCTTCTGTGGCAACACATTTCAAAAGCCTTCACGTGATTCATAGATCTCACTTTAAGTAACCAGGTCTCATTTCTCTACATCAGGATGGACAATACCTTCACTCTTATTTCCACTACCAGGTCACAGTCTCACCCACTGTTTAATGTAGCTATAAGTTATTTAAATCTTCCCACCTGTTCAATAGCTGTATTATTTATATTCAACTGAGCTATATATCTGCTGATTATCACGTATTTTGTTTTGCTAAGTTGATGTTAATGTTAAGCCTGTCCTCAGTGTGACCATAAATTTTTTAGAGAATATATCAACAACCAGATCTAAAATCTACTAAAAACTACAAATGATACTAAGCATGCGCAAAAAATGGTAAAATAAAAAAGGATTTGTTTATATCATTTATTTCTATTTATTTACATATAGAGATTTCTTAAATATTAGGCTTAACTACCCAGGCTCTTTTTTTTTCTTTATAATTATGGTTAATATTTCTATATAATTTTAAATCTTCCATTAATTTTACCATATTGAGATTATGGATGAAGTTAGTACAATCCTCTACTTCTGGAATGTGCCTAATTTTTTGTTGTGCCTAATATTTGGGGTATTTCATCGGTATTAATCAGTTTAGATACTTTAACCCAAAACTTTTCTACATCGGGTGATGAATTATTCCCACTCACAGATACAAGTAAACTAGACACTTCTTTGTGAAGCTTTAATTCTCTGTATTTATTTTATCTGTCTTGTATTGAAGTTTCAAGTTAGGAAATTTAGAAAGAAGGGAAAAAATTGTTGGTACAAAACAAATGTGTTCAGTTCAATAATTTTTTTACAGCCAAAAAGATTTCATCTGTTTTGACTTTGTACCGCAACATCACAACATTATTAGATACAGACGAGGTATCGCTGTCATTAAAGACGATTTCAGTACTGTATGCTCCTGGGTACAATTCCAGAACAAAGTTAAATGGAAGTATGATTTGTATTTGAAGAAAAATCCAGTACCAGTGAAATGTCCAGTAGCGGGGAAATTCAATTTTACTCAAAAAGGAGATGTACCATTTGAAACAAGGTAAATAATGTTTACATTAATGTTGATATACTTATTTTGAACTATTCAAATAAAAGTGGATAGTTTGGTTTATTGAGATTTGAAAGATATAATAGGTCTCGCTAGTTTTTGCATATGCGCCATCATTCAATTTATATAAATTAAAACAAAGCATTTAATATTGTTCTGAAGCTATTTTCTTGTGGCATTGTAAATTAATTACTATTAAACTGGGAATAAGCCACAATTAAAGATAAAAATACATTTATTGACGTTTCAATTTCCACTTCGGAAATCGTTCTCAAAATACAAACAGTAAATTAAACAAATTTTGTTTTTTGTTACATAGTGAAAAATTCTTCTAATAATTTAATTTTATCTGACTCATTTATATTGACAATTCAGACATACATTATGCATTTTAAAGTAGACGACTTTAAAATGATATTGCCAATATTGTTGAGTTGCGCTCCTGGGACGACTTTACTTATAAGATAGTTCATTCGATTACACGAAATCAACTTTAACTTGAGAATATCCGTCAGAAAAAATCATAGCATGTAATTCGTCTTTAAAAAGACAAACACATGACATGATGACAGTAAAATTCTCCTGTTAGTGATTCCATAGTAAATTATGAGGGAAAACCAGGAAAAAACCTCATAATACTATCCCGACATTGTAAGTATTTGTTCGTGAATTTAGTTTACCTTCAACAAACATCAAAATTCTGATTTTATATGTTACGTTATTTAAAAAACATAAATGATGTATCCTCATATCCAGAAAATACCAGTATTAGTAAGTCAGTAACATATAGAGGATACATCATTTATGTTTTTTAAATAACATAACATATAAAATCAGAATTTTGATGTTTGTTGAAGGTAAACTAAATTCACGAACAAATACTTACAATGTCGGGATAGTATTATGAGGTTTTTTCCTGGTTTTCCCTCATAATTTACTATGGAATCACTAACAGGAGAATTTTACTGTCATCATGTCATGTGTTTGTCTTTTTAAAGACGAATTACATGCTATGATTTTTTCTGACGGATATTCTCAAGTTAAAGTTGATTTCATGTAATCGAATGAACTATCTTATAAGTAAAGTCGTCCCAGGAGCGCAACTCAACAATATTGGCAATATCATTTTAAAGTCGTCTACTTTAAAATGCATAATGTATGTCTGAATTGTCAATATAAATGAGTCAGATAAAATTAAATTATTAGAAGAATTTTTCACTATGTAACAAAAAAACAAAATTTGTTTAATTTACTGTTTGTATTTTGAGAACGATTTCCGAAGTGGAAATTGAAACGTCAATAAATGTATTTTTATCTTTAATTGTGGCTTATTCCCAGTTTAATAGTAATTAAAGCATTTAAGTTACACGTATATCTTTCATATGAAAATAAGTATAAATCAAATTAATTCATCTTCTTTTGGCATTATAAACCTTAATGGGCTTTGCCTGTCTGGCTATGTCCTTCGATTCAGACCACTTTTGTGCCCTTCTCATCCATTGTCTTAACATTCATAATTTTCATATATTTTAGAGCCTACGTCATTACACGTCCGACCTGTCGCTTAGACCCTACTCCAACCCATCATGTCACATGTGAGTTATGGTAGGTCGGAGAATAATGTTTCTCCGTCTTTATCTGTTCTTTATGCCGTCCTGGAATTCTGGAAGCTTTGCAAAATTAGCGTATGCTTAGTCAATTATGAGTTCGTTAGAACTGAATTTTTTATTTACGTGTCATCTCTTCAGCTTTGGGAACAAAATAATCGGAGGGAGTTTAATCAGGACAATAAGCCGGATGAGAAAGCAATTCGCAAAGTTCCTGCTTCAATTTGTTTAATAATGTATAATAATTTTTAGAAATGATAGTTTTATCTTTTTCAAGATCGTGAATTAAAATTGGGCCTTTGAAACACCAAAATGCAGTGATCATAATATTTCAGTGTCATTAAGTAATTTTTGGTAGTTTCGGAGCACTTTTGTCGACTTCAGTTCACTGCCGTGCGTTCAATCTGGTGTCTTGTGTGTAGTAGTGGATTCAGGTTTCATCAACGGTTACCAATCGACGCCAAAAGTCCGACGGCTTGTGTTTTATAAGTTCTAAACACTGCTAAAAAGTATTCACACGATCACGTTTTTGTTCAATGGTCAGAAAACTTCGTTCAAAATATGACTATTAGTACCCTCTTTATTAAGTCTTGTGGCCTCTGCAAATTCACGCGTCTTCACTTTACGATCAGCTAAAACCATTTCATGGCTTTTCTTCACATTTTTTTGCGTAATTGTGTCGGAAAACCGTCGAGTACGTGGTTTCTTCAATTTTGAAAAACTAATGCAGCGCCCTAATCGGTGAAGGAGGTTACTTATCAGACCAGCAGATATGCACGCCAGATATGTTTCAAACGCTTGTGATTGTTCGCCCTGTATTTCTACTTTGCAAACAACTTTAAGCACTGTAGCCCTTATCAGTCTTATTAGTTTATCAGTATGTAGACAGAATTCGTCCATGGATTTATCAGTTCGCAGCGCACTATCATATGCTAATTTAAAATCTAAAAAAAGGTGGTAAGTGTCGATATGGAATTCTTTGGGTTTTTCCAGTATTTACCTTAGCACAAAATTTGTCCCGTTGTAGATCGACCGGACCAAAAACCACTTTGTTCATATTACTATATTATAGATATTGTATTTTGTTATTGCAAATTTCATTTGTTTCAGAATTCTTGGTGGTGTTACTTTGAGTCCTCGTCCAAATATTTACTGCAAGGAAAATATATCAGATTTTTCAGTTTGTGATACCGAACAAAAAGAAGTAGCTGTTGACGAAAACTATTGTCTTTCTGTTGATCATTTGGGAAGACCTGTTGATATTTACAGTAAGTTTATTTTTGTTTTGTTATGTTTTGGAAATTAAATTTTGTTGTTATTTGGAATTAACCTCAATTTTAGTTTTAAAGATCTTTATTTTAAATTACGAAGTAGAAATAGAAACGTCAAAATAAACATATTTAAACTAAAATTGTGGTTATTCCCAATAAAAAGTTCCCAATAAAAATAGTAAATTTCATATGCCCTATTGCCTTATGAAACAATACATTAATCAGATATATCAATCAGGCTATACAAAATATCAAACGAACATTTGTATCTGACCTATTATTCCGCTCTATATTGTTTCAGATATTTAAAGTCACACTTTTAGTCTTGTTTAAGCGAGTTTCCGCAAGTTTTTCTTTAATAATAGCTGATTTGTCATCAAATCTATAAGATCAATTATATGGTATATCACACACCATATTTGTGTCGGTTTTAAATCGTTTTATACACAGGAAGGCCCGTTACAATGCCATGCAAGGGTTTGGAATACTTTTTTGGTACTTAATAAAACCAACTACCGAAAACTGTAGAGAGTATAGAGAGATCACAATTAATAATAGCGTTAGACGAGGTGAAACACTCTCTTCTATTTTGTTTAACTTATCTCTGGAAAAAGTCTTCTGGAAGAACTTCTGGAATTGAATACCAACAGAATATTCAATTAGAATGGAATATCTTCTTCTTCAAGTTCCACTCCTATCGGAGATTGGAAATCATTCTGGCAATTATAATTTTATTGGTTACTCGCCTGAATAGTTCAATTGAACTGCATCCAAACCATTCACGGAGATTGCGTAGCCACGAGATTTTACGTCTTCCTACGCTTCTTCTACCTTTTATTTTACCCTGCATTATATTCCTTGGTAGTTCGTACTTTTCACCTCTCATGATGTGCCCCAAGTATTCCAATTTTCTGATTTTTATGGAATTTAAAACTTCGCATTGTTTTCCTAGTTGTTCGAGAACTTGTTCGTTTGTTTTGCGATCCATCCATGATATTTTCAAAATACGTCGGTAACACCACATTTCGAATGCTTCTAGGTTTTTAATGTTGGATTTTTTAAGTGTCCAAGCTTAAACTCCATACAAAAGGGCAGAGAAAATATAACATCGAAGCATTCTTATCCGGAGCGATATATTGATATCGCGATTACAAAAAAGTTTTCTGATTCTATTAAAAGTTGACCGCGCAATTTCAATGCGGCATCTTTTTTCTTTTGTCTGATCTGTCTGGTCATAATTTCTGTATTATCTAGTACTAGCTTAACTTTGATATTTTGTGCTTTTGTAAATACCATGAACTTGGTTTTCTTCAAATTGATTTTTAGTCCATAATCGTTGCAATATATATTTAGTTGTTCAGCAAGGTGTTGCAGTTCTTCTAGTGTTCCTGCCAGAAGGACGGTGTCGTCAGCATATCTTATGTTATTAAGTGGTTCACCGTTTATTATAAGGCCCTCACTGATCTCGGCAAGCGCTAATGGAATATACATTATACGAAAAACCGACTCTGCAGTCGAGCACAGCTACAGGAAGCTGCAAAAACTGTAAGACATCTCATAAACATCCCGAAAATAAAATATATGCCAGTATCTGCAACTCCTCAAGATGTAGAACTCAATTATAAGTGGACAGATCATCAAAGTTGTTTAACAGTTTGAATATCTTGAATTTGAATGTCTAGATAAAACTAGTGTTAACATATGACTCAGAGACTTTGGACATTTACTCAAAAAGATAAAAATCTATTGGAAATTTGTGGCAGAAAAGTTCAAAGAACATTATATGAAGCCATAAATGACAATGGATCCTGTAGGAAACGATTATACAGAGAAACAAATAAAAACAATTAAAATCAACATATTGAGATGGTTGGGACATATTTTAAGGATGAAAGGTGAAGACCAGCTACTAAAAACGATATTTGACAAAAATATTCTGGGAATAAGGATATCGAGAAGATTGGCTTTGAATAGGGAACGTTGTAAGGATATTTTAAGGGAAGCCAAAGCTATGGCATTTAGAGCTATAAATATTTATAATTGAATATTTTTACCTACATTGAGAATATTTTTTACTCTCTGTGATATATTACTTATGTAGTTTTATGTGTATTATTGATTTTAAATAGTTTTTTGAACTGCTACACCTATTTCATATTTATTTTTCAGTTCCAGATAGTTCCCTCTAATTCTAGAAATTGTTTACTTTTTTCACCTTAGATCTCTTTATGGTATGTTTCGTAAGGTTTGTGTTTGTGCAGCTAGTTTTACCTTGGTAGAGCGTTGTCTGCTTTTAACTTTTCTTGGATGTTGTTTTATACCTGTCTTGCAATTCCCTTTATGATGCAGCAGCATCAAAAGGGATACCCGCTACCATATGCAACCGAGTCAAAGCAATGCTGCAATATAGGCTGAATCTAATACACTAATAATACACTAATAATAATCTAATACTTTCTCCTCTACTGTGGTCACTGCTGGTGGATGACCTGATATTGATTCTTGACGCACAGGGGTTAGAAGTACAGGCCTATACGGTATGATCACTTTTATTTAGCACTATCCGAAGAACGTTAAATATCCTTACTAGGTGGAGCGACAGAAAGAGGAATTGCAGGGACAGATCTATAAAAATCATATCGGATAGCCAGGCGGCATTAAAGGCCCTGAAATCGAATTGGATTGACTCCTAAGTTAGTTTAGAACTGTCTTCAGAATCTGAGTCGGATCGGAAAAAGTAACAAAATTAAGTTTACTCTGGGTGCCTGCATATACTGGTATTGAAGGAAACGAAAAAGCGGACCTACTTGCCAGGAAAAGGGCAAAAGAAACATAGAGCCAGAACCTTCCGTTGGCATACCAAGAAGCCCAGCCAAAAGAATGTAACTACTGGTTCAAACAATTGGGTCTCAAGCATTTGAAGGCTTTTATACATGAATTTTCGAATAAGGAACTGAAAAATCCACTAGATATGAATAGGAATGATCTGTGAATTTTCGTAGGTCTCTTAACAGGACGCTGTCGCATCAAGTAGCATATGTACCCCAGTCAACGAAGAAAAAAAGTTGAAAAAATTCTTAAACAAATACTTGAAGGTTTTAAAAGGTATTTGATTTTGTTCTGTTTTTTTTAACAATCTGAAAAAGTGAAAAACCTAGTATAAAAAGTTTATTATACAATTTAGAGAAAAATGTTTTAAATAAAAGTTGTAGATCATAAAGAGTTCTTTATTTTGAGAGTATTCAAAACAAAATACGTAAACAATTGACCGAGATAATTATAAAAAACACTTATTTTTGTAATAATTGACATGCTAAGGGTCAATACATTTGAGCATTATCATCACGAGCCATACGACTTTGTAGAAGTGTCACCAACGGCTATAATAGACTTTGTTAAAAACTACAGGACAACTTTAACATAGATCTAGACTTTAACCCCACAATAGACCTCTTAGGTCGAGTGGAAGGGTGGATAAGCTCCCACTCATATGGAATCTAACCTAAACTGTAAATTGCAATATTTTTTTGTTCGTTGTCTTTTATAAATACTTTTTTCTCATTCATTTACAGCTTCATATATTTCATTGATTGTTATTTAAGCACTAATTTCTATTTTAGGTGATCCTGACTATAGAATGAAATGCATAGGATTCTGGAAAGAAAATTTGAAATCATATTTAATCACATATGATGAACTGGATCCATTTTCTAAGTATCGTTGCTGGGTATACCAAAGAGCAGATTTGAACAAAATTTTGATGTCACAGGGTACGTAGATAAAAAGTATTGGTATAGTTACAACAGAAAACGAAAACAAAATACTTAAAATTGGTTGTATTATAACCTGCTCCACCGATTTCGGGCTCTACAGTTTCAGCCCTTTTTCGGGAACCATAGCATTTTCTTTTTCTTTTTTATCTATTAAAAATTGACTCACATTTGCAAACCAATCATCATTGATATAAAATGTTTCAATTATTAGTAGTTTTTATTTATTGTACCGTATTTGTAGCTATTGGACCTTTTTGCGATTTGAAACAAGATGTATATTCATGGAATTATACTGAGGGTGCCTCGGTAGCTATAGAAATGCAGGAATATGAAAGAGAACGTAAGTATTTAATTACTTTAAACATTTGTTATGTTGTAAATACAGTAAGTAATAAAATATTTTCACATAAATGAAGTTTTAACGAAGGACCATGGTCATCAAATTATTATAAATAGCTATTTGTTATTGAATAGAGATATTTATATATTACACTAAGTAATAAAATATTTTCAAATAAATGAAGTTTTAACGAAGTACCATGGTCATCAATTATAAAAAGGCATTTGTTATTGAATAAAGATATTAGTAAAATTTTGTTTATATTACATTAGTTTTTCCTACTCTTATAATTGTCTACACAAAAAAGAACGAAAAAAAATATGATATTAAATTTTAATTTGAAAAATCAGTAAACGTTTGAAACTAATTATTAAAAATGTGTATAGTAAGATAAATGCACTTTTTAGTGTTTACATCACTTATCAATAATTGAATTGTTAAAAAATATTCAGTCAATCAATATTAGGAAACATGAATGGTATACACTATTAAAAATATTTATAGAACTAAAAAAAACAACACTCAAAATCAAAACAGCAACTTAACCTCAAAGGTAAATAAACAACAACACGATACAAAATTTATATCAAATGATCTATATCCAATCCGAAAATTAGAATTTGTGAAACTTCAACTAATAACTAATATGGACTTACATTGAAGAATACTGCCGATTGAGAGCGAACTGTACCGATCGTAAGTTCCAGTACTTGAAATAAAAATAAAAATAAAAAATAAACACATTTATTGCCCTAATAATATATACATGTCATAACTTAAAAAATTTCAGCCTTCTTTCTTCCTGATGTCCCGCTTTTGCACCATCTTCTTCTGATTTGTTTTCCTCTCGGCATCCTGGACTTCTCTGGGTGGTTTCCTCGTCTTTTTCTCTAGGTACTTTTTATTGCATCGTACCTACTTCCCTGCGTCGCTGTTCAGAGAATTAAATTTCGGGAAAATTAAAATATTAGAATATGATGTACGTGATGCCATCTACTCAAAGAATTGTTAAACGTTAGTTTATTTGAATGCCACTAATTTTAACTGCGGCGTGAACATATCCCCTTAAAGAAAAAATTTCTCATTAAATATTATCTTTGGATTTCTCTCCTCTTTGAGAGAAGAAAAATTTTCCATCCCAACCAGATATTGTCATCTCCTCTACGGTATCTATATATGTACATTTTATCTTATAACTATGTATTTCTACAATTAAGCATTAGAGTACCTACTCGTATTCACTGTTGACCATGGAACTGCGCTAAGGTGTTAAAATTCATGTAAAGGTACTGGAAGTGGAATTATACTAATCAAACTAAAACCTATAGACGAGGAAATTACTATCGTCGAAATTATTGCATTGATGGACTGAGACCCATGTGATAAATAAAAAATTCCATTTGTACATAACAAAAATGCATTTTAAGTGCGTCTTGTTTATATTTTTAATGATTTTTGTTCAAAATTTTTTAAAACTGGCTTTAATTTGTTATGTTTACTTTCGGTATTAAACGTGGCAAAAATCCTATTATTATTATTTATTGCAAAATTATTGTTTATAAGTTTATATTTTCAATTTGTTATTTCGAGTTGAGACAGATTGTATAACTATATTTATATATAATTGTACTTAAAAATTATTTACACATCAAATAATATGCGTACTTCTAATAAACCGACTGGATAATAATATAATACAGTAGACTCCCTCTATAACGAGAACTGAATTAGCAGACTAATTACCTCGTTATAAGTCGATCTCATTATATCAGACAACAATAATACTATACATACATATGAATATGTAGTTTTCTAAAACATTAACTTCCTATATTGAAGCCATTCGGAGCAATATAAGATGGTAAATATTGTTTGAATGGCGTTTTTGAAAAAAGTTGTTTACCTTTATTGTCATTGAAACACATTAAAAAAAGCGTTGTTTACTTTTATTGTCAATAATATTCGTTAAAACAAAAAATCTGTACTTACATTTTTTTCCAACTACATAATGCATAAAGCGTATTTTCAAGGATAACATAAACTGTTGCTTCTGCAATTGGAAGAAGTCTGTCATTTTTGACTGCTTTAAATTGTACAGTATCATTCTATCTATCATATTTTCTAAAGATGTGAAACAGTTGTATAATTCTTCATTTGCGTTTTGTCTTTTAATAAAGTTTTTTACAACGTTTAAAGCACTTTCCACATCTTGTCTATCAGAACCTTCTTGCGTAGATTCACCGCGATTGTCTTCTCCATCTTCATCACTTACGTCACTGACGATAACGCGCTGCGCCGGCAGATTTATTACTTCCGCGATAATTTCACTATCCTTTGGAAGATCACAAACAATAACGTTATGATCAATGGCAATAAATTCATCAAACTCGTCATCATTGTTCAGTTAAGTTAGTTCTTGACCTTGCTGTTGTAACCTTAACCACCTTGCTGCAGGATATTCATCTTCTTCGTTTTCTACCTCAGTCTCTGTCCACCCCGCATGACCGAATTTATGGCATCTAATAAAGTAACAGGGGATTTAATACGGTTTTCCACATTATTCAGGATCCGCTTAACTAAAAGTTTTCTGTAGTGAACATTAAGGAACCTTATGATGCCCTGATCCATCGGTTGCAGAACAGATCTGCAATTTGGGGATAAAAAAAGAAGTTTAATTTTTTTTAAAACTGTTAACTTTCGGATGGGCTGTACAATTGTCATTAATTAAAAGTATCTTTCGATGTTCCAACTCTCTGTCCCACTTCAAAAGTTCTCCACTAAAAATCTCTGCTGTCATCCACGATTTTTTATTAAATTTATATGTGACAGTGTTTTTGAGATTTCCCAATGACGACTAACTTCCTCTTTTCGGAATTGAACATTTTGACACACGCAAGTACAGTTACTCTTTCTTTTGATAACTTGCCATCTATACAACGTTCATTTTTGAATTTTAGGGTCTTATCTGGAGTCTTCTTACGCTGCCTTATCCTTAAGGAAGTTGGCCATTACATTTGCCCATTTAATCTTATTTGTAGCAGCCCTGAATAGTTCTATGGAGGTCATGTTCGTCCATTGCCGTAGGTTTTTAAGCCAAGAGTTGCGTCTTCTTCCTGGTCCTCTTTTGCTATTGACTTTGCCTTCGATTATAAGTTGGAGCAGTTCATAATTATCTGGAGTAAGTTTAAAAAAAAGGCACAACTCGTCGGCATTGAAAACATTATCATCACTGTAATTTTGTCTTATTGTAGGCCATGACTTCAACCAGTTGTCGATGACTTCTTTGGAAACACTCTTCGCTTCATCGTAAATTTTACCCCGCGTAATTTCGTGCCTGTCCTTAAAACGGCTAATCCACTCACTCGATGCTTTCAAATTCTCTTCACAACCTAGCGCCTGCGAAAACTGTGTTGCTTTTTCTTGAAGCAGTGGTCCACTTATTGGAACATTCGCATCCCTTTTTACGGTAAACCATTTGACCACTGTATCGAGTTTTTTATTAGTTGCGGCACGATTTTTTTTCGATTTACCGGAAAAAGAAGAACCTGCTTTGAAAATCTTGTGTTTATTTGCATGGTAGATGGAGTGGAACTTGAAATTTCTCTTTCACGACAAACTTCTGCTTTCTTCTTACCATTGTCAATATCTTTAAAGACGTTAATTTCTTCTTCTAAAGTAAATGCTTTTCTTTTAGGAGTCATAGTGTGTAATCTCTGTGATTATGTAATCTACAACACAGCTTTCAAGACGCGAAAACACAATCAGGAAACAAACGATAAACATCTACGACAAAAACAACTGCGAAATGACATTTTGGTGAAATTTGCTTCATTTGTCATGTTTTTAAACCTCTTTGCGTAGTTTATTAGGTGCTAATGATCAAACTCCTACACTGATACTTGTGAATCATAAATTGTAAATTTCCGACAACACAGTATCGGTCGGTTGATTAAACAGAAGAAGTTTATTGCAGGCGGCAGTTAAAAAGGGTATTTATTTATAGCCACGGCCTGGCCAAAACCGTAAAAAACCACGTTTTTCGATCTTATTTTCTCTCGTTATAAACAAATTTGTCTCACTATACAGGGTTATAGTTCAATGGAAATTTCACGTGACATCTAATGTACCTCGTTATAAGCAAAACCTCGTAATAACCGTGTTCGTTATAGAGGGAGTATACTGTAAATCAGTATTATTAAAAACATATGAATATCAAAATTAACAACAGTTTTCACGAAAACAAAAAAAAAATGACACTGGTTTTGTCACTATAAAAGTTCACATCCTAGGTCACTCACCTTCATCATCGTTGGTATTTGACCACAAACTGTAGGAATCGTCTTCGCCAACATGTATGATCAGTTCAGCTACGTCATCCATTAAATGTTTTTTTCTAAGGTACTCCTGTGTTCTATTCCAATAATGTAATCGCAAGTTTTCTTCCACAATAGATTCGTCGTAGGAATACAATACAGATTTTGAGTTCGACAGAATATGAATGTTGAAAAAAAAACTTCAAACTTCATCATTTTCTTCCACACATCTGCACTTATTTTGCTAAATTTTCCTTCGGCTATCTGCCTAAATTTGATTGCTCCCAAAATTTTCTCAATAGGATTTAATTCAGGGTGATATAAAGGAAGACGTAATACAATGTGTCCTTGATTCCCCATTATTTTTTCTACTATATATTGTTTATATGTTGACATGTTTAATTTAATTTTTGTATAAAGTTTGGGTTTTGTAGCCACATATTTCGTTGCTTCAAACATGTACATCCGGATAACACTGATGATGGAATAGTTATTCCGAAAACGTTCTGTGATGTAGCCTAATAGGGCTTTTTTTATTATACCTTAATGGAATTTTTTTAATAAAATTTTTGTAATACATGGTATACAGCCAACTACAGGAATTTAGTTCCCTTGTGCGTTATTTTGCAATTATCTCTTGTCATTGTTCCATTGTATATACTACAAATTTGCGGAAACTTTTTTGCTGGATCGATGTATAAGTAGTTTCACTTTGGTAAAAATATATTACATTATATTTGTTTTCTTTTTAGGCGATCAGTGTCCGATGTACTTCGACGACGGTACCAATCCATGGCTCCACACAGATAACGAAATTATAATATTCGACTTTGGATATTTACGAAGTGCCTCCAATATACCAAATATACGTGCCTCTCTTATATGTATCATATTGACAGCTATATTTTTAAGTTAATGACAATATTATTCTCTCTAAAATGAACATATTTATGAAATAAATACTACATTTTGATGGAAAATGGCCAAAATTTTAAAATTATTTGTTTTTGGTAGTTACATTTTGTAAATATGTTCTGTCAGCCTAAGCAACTTACAAAGGACTGATTGATGATTTAAAAAGTGCCTTTTATTTTTTTTTTACATTCCAAATTTTATTTTTTCTTGGTAAGATTACCAATATGGTGATATAACACCGATCAGCGTGAGTTAATTCTATTTTTTCAACAACCATTTGGAAAAAATAATGTTTTTGGGTTTATTTTACTAATCCATATCGCTAAAAACAATTTTAGATTTTCTGAATAAAACTATATGCATAGACATGATTGCTGATAATTTCAAAGCCTGAAGTTTTTAAAAACAGTAAAAGGAATATTAAAGATCAAAAATAACAATTTTTTCACTGATCAATACGTCTAGACCAGTCTGGATATATACCAATATAGCTTATGTCTGTTGTGGTGAGTTAAACCTTAGATTATGATAGAAATGTATTCGAACGTTTGTTTATAACTAGAATTTGACTATGCGCTATCTGAAAAAGTTATGGCAAATCCAGGAAACATCCTAGAATCAAAAACATATGTTGCTGACCCCTGTTTTCCAACCTTTATCCTGAATATCCTAAAAAGTATCAAATCTACAACAAAAATGGGTAGAAGTCAAATTGTTTACAATTAAATTTCCTATCAATAGTTTCTTGTCCAATAATTTAAAATTAAATTTCTACACGTTTGTAAATAAAAAATTGCAAAAAAATTAGTTTAAAAATAATTTTTTTTTAATTTGTATAAGAAATGAAGTTACCTCCAAAACAATTACGTACATAAAAATGCAGTGCCTTTTTTTCTGATTTTGCATAGTAATTTTGCAATCCAGCTCTGTACAGAAAATTGGAAAAGTTGCAAAACCTTGTTGCATGCAATATTGTTTGTTACGTAAATTGTTTTTTTACGAATAGAAGAGCTTTTTATGAAGGTTCAAACCTATTTCGAAAAATTAAAATGTTAGTAATGGAAGCCTTCGGAATTTTTTTGAGGAGAATAAAACTTGCAGTTTCTTTTTATTCAAATTTGTTTGTAAGATCAAAATATTCGTAATTTAATAAAATTATTCTGGATAAATTGATATAAATTTTTTAACTTGTTACAATTTTTTTTAAATTATTGTATAATAAAATTTAGTGCAGATTTTAACGAAAATAAAATATTTGTTTCAGAAAATAATTTTAATATTTCAAAAATGATATTTTTAAATATTTTGTAGAGAATTTTCATTTCTACGCGCTGGATTTTTTTTACATAATTAACATAAAATGTTGAGGTCTCCATAACGACGATTTTTCATTCTAAATTTTTCCTGAATTTGGACATTTAAATTATAGTCATAGACAACCTTCCATAGACATTTCTACAACAATTTAATATCTGACTCACTTCAACCAATTCTAACTATATCTCGAGTCTGAGATGTGTCAATCGTGGACCAAACTATGATCAGGATTTTTTCTTTGATAACATGATTAACAAATTCTTTAAATATTAACTGACAATTTTATACACTTATAATACCTTACAAAACTAAGTCATTATTTAACGGTACAACATAATTGTTGTTGAAAAAATATAATATTAATCGATTTTTTTTATAGTGGGTAAGCTAATGTAAGAATTGGTTGATCTCGTGTCCAATTTATCAGAAGTACTCCTTTTAATTATTTATTCATAGTACGTAAACTTTTTCCCGTAAAATACAAGATTCAGCGTTGTAAGATTGTACTACAGAAAGATGAATATAATTGCTGTTTCATGCTTTTTAAATTCTTTATCAAATTTTTTCTACTTTTCTAGGAAAGTTCCAAGTTTTTCTTGGTACAATAATATTTGTATTTTGGAACAGTGCAAATAATTCTTTCCCACCTCTATTTATAACATTTACGCCGATAATTATCAATTTTTGGTTTCAGCCATTGGTGTTTTTTTTTATACATATGATGATATATATTCTATTATCAGTTCTTGCTACTTACTCTTCTTTGTTATAGTTTATGTAAGTATTGAATAATTATTACTATAAGTACAGTATAAAAATAGCTTAATTTTAAACGCGTCATACAAATAGGATTCTCATATACAATTTTAATAACTTGGCTGTTCTCGCTCTGATAATTTTGTAGGTAACCTACGTGACCATAATGGTTTCTTCAACTATTCCGGGAAATTGGAGGATACGTCCAAGTTGAACAACTAATTAAGGGATTTTAATTAATTTTTATTTGTTCATTAGGAAAATAGACTTAATGAGTGTCAAGACCCGGCAATAATGAAACTATTTGATTTTAATAGCTTATGAGATCAACCAATTCTTACTATTTAACAAAGATCTGGCAACTAATTGAATAGACTTGATTGTTGATAAATTATATACTTAATGAAAGTTTTAGATATTTTTACAAAATTTTTTAGAATCATTTTTTAGATATCTAGGTATATTTTTAAATACTTTAGGTTAGATATAAAAACCTATTGTAAGTGATCAGTGGATCTGCACTTAATACATTTGTGTAATGCTTTTGATGTTTATTATGCACATATCAAAATTTGTATCAGCGCAAATATGCCACATTGAAGTAGTGTCTTAAAAAGTGCAATTATAATATAAGATTAATGCATTACAAGATATAATTACTGAGATTAGAAATTGAATAATTGACATGTATATTTTTATTATTGAATATAGATAAGTAAAAAAGTTTTACCAATATCACTATAATTTTAAATATTAAAGTTTTTAATAACACTCTAGTTTTTTCACACAAATATATTCTATAACAATTTAAGTTACATTATTTAAATAAAATTACTTCTAACTCTTGCAAATGTTTGTGTGACTCTTAATATTTTTTCTGATCCCATATTATCTCAAGAAGAGTAAGGAACAACGACCCCTGAACAGGGAAAAGCCGAGGAAGAGGAAGATTGTTTCAAATTTCACATGTTGGCTATTTATTGTAAAAACGTATATTTTAATCACCGTTTTTAACTTCGTAAGACTCTTAATGACTGATAAAGAGTTCAATACTCTTTCTGTGCTATTTCCAAAACTTAGCCGGCAACACACGTTACGTACATGGAGCAAAAACTACGCAAAAGTATTGGATAACAAGCCGGGTATTCTAAAATATCGCTTCGCAGTAAAAAGTACATGAAACTCGAGTAAATATAAGCTATAAATTTATTAAATGTTAATAAACATTTTAGTAAACATTAAAAATTCCCTTAGAGCTGAGTTGATCATTTTAACCTAACATCAGTTTCCTGTGCGTTTTTTTTTCATCGACTTATTTGGATCCTGAACGTCTTATCGGAAATATCGGGTAGTTATTTCAACTAATAGATATTTTCAATGAACTAACTCTACATTTCAAACTGTCCTAAAATCTTCTAGTCACGATGTAGTGGATAACAGTGAATTCATCCACCTAAATAACCCAGCCAGAACAATATTTTTACTAGATATTTAGGATGTAGATCAACGAGATACTTGATTAGTTTCTGTGGCGTACGTTTTGCCTGTTTGGATTTAACTTTACGTAAACAAATTTTTCTATTTTAATAGCAAAGTTGCATAAATCGCCTTAATATACACTTGTAAAACATATTATATACAAATAGAGGCATATACATGTGTGTACGTTATATTCAAGAGCTTTAGTGGCTTTTATTCTTGTATAACATGAAGAACCACAGATTCACGTTTGATCCATGTAGTGATCCAAAATATATGCAAATTTAGAATATTGGTTTGAGCAATCTATGAAACTATAAATATCATAAATATAAGTCTCATAAAGTTACAGTATTGTTTTAAGCAATCTATAAAACTATAAAAGTGCAATAATTATAGTAATTCATGTTTAGTTTTCGTAAACAAAGATATGCTTTTTTGACCATTCTTTAACTGGTTAACGATTCCTAAATTAGACTCTTCTAATCGAAATTCTATGTATGTAAATTTAAAATAGAAAAAACAATAACTGAAGGGATGTTATCGTATATTACTTATCTACATTCAACTAAGTCATTATAGAAAACTTATTTGGTAGAAATACTTTAAAATTACATATGCTCGAAGTAAGTATTTGACAATAACTGAAGTTAAAGTAATTTAATAATACGTTACAGTTCATTTCTATAAAATTGAATAAAACACGCAATATTCCAAGTCAAAAATGTACACGAATGAACATAATTTGTATCGCTTATGAGTAACTATTAAGATATTAGAGAAATAGAAATAATTTTGAAATGTTTATTGTTATTTATATTTCTTGTATTCAAAATAGGCGCATTGATGGATCATATTTTCATAAATAAACCCAGCATATCGTTCAGCTATTTTAAGTGCAATTTACACCTCAGAAATATTTATTGCATTTAACAGTAATATCTGGTTAAAAAGTTTCGCAATTACCCCCAAAATAGCGTAGATACATTATTTCTCTAAAGTCCGATAATGAATGAATTCTGAAAACTGAAGCACTATTATATACATTTTTATGTCCTTTTTTAGTATTTCTATATTCCATGAGATGTTATATTTCACTAGAATTTTAACTTTAGCAACTATGTAAACGTCCATTTTTTGAAATTTTTATTTGTAAATGATTAATTTTTTTAATAAATTTATAATTAAAACATTATTGTTATTTCTGATCCCTTCTTAGTAGTGTCCTTGTCAATATGATTCGTCGTAAATTAAGGTAAGCAATCAAAGTCTGTTATTGGTAAGAAAAGACTATACCCTATTCACTGAATATAGTTCCAACTGACAAGTAAGTTTGGTAATTAATTGTTATGTTGGTCAAACTTGGACGTCGATTGAAAGTGGCTGGAAGTTTTGACACAAACGATTGCACGTGCTTATATCCAACATTAATTGTAACTTGAAAGTAAACAATATTCACGTGTCCAACCTTAATTTTAACCTCTCTCATAAATACACGTGTTCTGTGTGTGATAAAAAGAAAGTTAAAACCAAAGTTGTCATAGACGCTAATGGTAACAAAAAACAAAAGCCCTACATGGGCTCCGTTTAAGAAAAGTTGAAGCAGTTAGTAAGAAGAAGAACGACGTCACAAAAGAAGCAAGAATGTCTCAAGGGGTTGAACAAATTGCTGTCTTTAATTGGCAAAAAACCCTTCCAAGTCTGTTTTATATTATAAGAGACAGTGGACATAGAATTTGAGCGTCCACGACAAGGTAACTACCATTGGGTACATGAGGAGCTCAAGAAGTTTCGTATTGTCTTCTTAATTACATAAAAACATGTCTTTCCACCAATCTCTCCAGTTCCCACGCTCTTTCTCGATAGCTGCGACGGACAAAATCGTACTATTAAAGCAGATCTTCTGTTCCATGCTTTGCAGACCCACCCAAGTATTGAAGTTATCAATCAATTGTTTTCACTCATATCATAGTTATGACATGGATTTTGGAATATTTGAAGGGTCTAATTGTTACTAGGAAGAAATATTTGTTCCTGAAAAGTGGGAACCATATTTCATTTTCCTTTGCAAAATCTATTGCCGTTATGCTAAGTGACTTTCATGATGTCGATGTCGATAATAATTAGTTTCGGATGTTCCTTTAATGGTCTTTCATGTTGAGCAAAATGTTGCAAAACAGTCAAGAAGAGTTCACTTCTCATTTACCCAGATGGTGTCGCGGCATTTTTGCTTCCAGTAGGAGATCCGTGAAGCAAGGTATCCTTAAAATGAATGCGCGAAAATATAAAGCAGGGTGGCACATTCCTTCCAGTTGCGCCAATAATTGCATCACGATAACAAGGACCCATCTTTCGGTAGAAGTCATTTGACCCACTCTTCTTTTGTCTGTTGCGGCTAACACTTTTGGTGGTTTGTACACCATCGTTACACCTGTCTCATCTAGATTATAGACATCATTGGTTTGTAAATTGACAAGGCTGGTTTGTTCTGTGGTTCTTAATGATAATTTGTGCCTTTCCATAAAATTAAACATCCATTCCCTTCCTGCCGTTCCATCCAGAATCCAACTCTCCTTTATAGTTTTGTTGTAAACTACAGCAAAATCATATGCCAGCCTACAGCTGCCAATCCCTAATGAACGTTACAAGCTTTTTGTAAATATTTTTTAAGAAGCAGTTCTTCGTCTTGAGAAAATACCAGAAGGTGCTCATTACTTGGGCGAAAATTAACCGTCCCCAAATCATGATCGAACCACTTGTTAACATAACAGTTAGTGTTTTCTCGGAAGACCATACTGTATAGCAACGTTTCTTACTAGACTAACATTAGATAAGAGAAATCATTCTGATGGGGTGATTAGTCTACGTGCTGGAAGTACTGCATTATTTATTTTTACGAATCCTGTTTTATTGAAAAAATTATCGCCTTTACTGGAAAGATAAATGCATACTCGATTATTAGAGATTCTTGACGAATAAATAATATTTTTTGGTTGAACGAGTGGTCCTAGTGGTCCTCGACGATCGTGCCTCTACACTTGACACTTTGACACTTAGGTCGATTCAGACACATCAGTCACGTCTCGTCACAGTCCTGGCGCCGAACCGAACAATCCGTCATACAAAATATTCTTTAATAGAAATATGGCGTCGGCATTCATATTCATCAGGCGACGAACAGTTTCCCAGCTGTCAGATAGGTGATAGTTCTGTGATCAAACAGGACCGGTTCGGCGCCGAGACTATGACGGGACTGATGTGTCTGAATCGACCTTTAGTCAGTCGGCGATTAAGGTTCGGAGCGATAAGTACCTACCTGCTGTAAAAATATTTATAGAAACAAAGTGTTTATTGTTCTACTGCTGTATTCTGATTGTATCAGTTTTGTACATTCTATAGAAAAAAAGTGTTTATTCTACTGCTGTATTCTAATTGTATCAGTTTTGTACATTTCTTCTTTGGACTAAACTGTTCTGCTGTAACGGTCGTGAGTTATTTTGTTGTTTTTAACAAAGAAGAATGGAACGTTGGCTTAAAGTCGTTAAACGTAATGCAACAATATTTTTTACAGAAGGCGAATGTATGAAAGCAGTACGCGCAGAGTATACAGCAATTACCGATCAAGACGATTATGCAACGACGTCAAGTTCCACGGTTTCAAAGGCAAAAAAAAGGAAGTATGATGAATAATCATATATCAGTTTGGGATTTGTTGATTCCAACGGCTCTCTGCATCCTATATAGTAAACTGTTTCCTAATAGTCCCATGGCACCACAAGTTTAGAATGGCACCGACATTTAGAAACTGTACACCCCGAGTATAAAGGTGAGCATAAAGATTTTTTTCTACGTAAAAAAGAACAGTTATTGGAAAGTCAAAAATCTATGATGCATGTAACTCAAACTATCAATGAAAAGGCCACAGTATGCTCAATGAAAAATCTGCAAAGCATCTTTCTACTGTGCCGCTATCGAACGATACTGTTTCACGGCGAATTCATGATCTGGCAAGCTACGCCAAACAACAATTAGTTACACGTCTACAAAAAACACGATTCGCCTTGCAAATAGATGAGTCTACTGATGTAGCTGGTCTAGCTATCTTGCTGGTTATCGTGAGATATCCATATGAAAGTTCTTTTGAAGAAGATATGCTTATGTGTACACCGCTGCCCACAAACACAACCGGAGAGGAAATTTTTAATAAAATAAATATATTTTTTGAGGAAAATAATCTGAGTTGGAACGATTGCATTGACATTTGTACAGATGGGGCCAAGGCGATGACAAATAATACAGCAAGACTAGTGTCACGAATAAAAAATAAAGCTCCTAATTGTAATTCCAGCCATTGTATCCTGCATAGACAAGCACTTGCGATGAAGCAAATGCCGACAAATCTAAAATTAGTTATGCATGAAGCGGTAAAAATAATTAATTTTATCAAATCAAATACAATTTCTATTGTTCTCATTATTGTGTGAAGATTATGGCAGCAAACATAAAACACTGCTGCTCCATACAGAAGTGCGATGGCTGTCTTGGGGTAAAACTTTAACAAGGCTATTCGAAATCAGAGCGTGCAATGTTTCTTCAGATACTTCTTTTAATTTGAAGGACCGTTTGTATAATAAAACTTGGTTGTTCCGACTGTCTTTTATGGCGGATATCTTTCAAAAACTGAACGATTTAAATTTATTATTGCAAGGTAAACAGACAACAGTGTTTCAGGCCTGTAACAAAATTAGTGCCTTCAAAAGAAAATTAGATTTTTGGATTATTTGCGTCGAAAAGAGAAAAATAGAAAGCTTTACGTCACTCTGTGAGTTTGTCAGCGATAACCACGAAATGTTCCAAGATGATGTATTTGAAGAATTGATCAAATATCTCACTTCGATGCGTGCATTTTTTGAGAAGTATTTTCCCGAAGAACAGAACACAAAAATGAAACTGAATTCATGGATTTATAATCCTTTTTTACCCAACTTACAAAATCCCGAAAGTATGTCAAACGAGATATATGAATCTCTTTTAGAAATGTCATCAGACACATGTATGGAGTCACTGTTTAAAACGACGCCTCTCAACGATTTTTGGTGCAGAATCCGTGATGAATATCCAATGCTTGATAAAATGACTCTGAAAATTCTTCTTCCGTTCTGAACAACATATTTGTGCGAAACAGGATTCTCAGCATATGCAGTCACGAAAACAAAATACCGCAATAGACTGGACGCCGAACCTGATATGAGACTTCAAATGTCCTCTATCAAACCTGATATCAACCAATTGATGAAAAATAAAAAACAGTTTCATACCTCGCATTGGTTAGAGTTTTCTTATTTCATATCTTCTATTATTATACTTGTTATGTAAGTAAGTAATAAGTAACTGTTACATTGTTCGTTTATTATGCTTATTAATAAAAAATACACTTTTAAAAACTACTGTTTTATTGTAGGGTTCCGTCAAGTATTTCGCTTTCCAAAAGGGTTCCGTCACTAAAAAAGATTTAGAACCGCTGCAATAGTTTTTTTTTCATCCTTTATTTATTGAAATCTGTTTCTACAAATAAAAAAAAACAATAATCAATATGTTTATCAAGTAATTAACATAGGGGAGAGCTGTCCAGTGACAGAAATCCTTAAGATAAATTTCTAATATATATAAATATTTGAAATATAAATAACAATTTACAAAGACATTTTACTAACATATTAAAAAAAATAGTAATAGTTAAAATTATAACAACACACACAATTATAAGTTGTAGGTATATGTAGTATCAGTTGTAGCTATAAAATGATATATACGTTTATGTATATAAAGGTATAGAGAGGTCTAGAGGATCACGTCGTTTTAGTCTTCCTCTCCTTGGTCGCTTAAGTAGGTCTTGGGCAAGTGTATTTGGATGGTTTAGTAGTCTATTTTTGTAAGTGCCACTGAGTGAGACAACGGTGTCTTTAATATTTTGGATCTGAAGATCTCGGTGTATCACATAATTGGGCACGTACCACGGTGCATTGGTAATATGTCTCAAAACTTTAGATTGGAAACGTTGAAGTTTCAGTAAGTGAGAATTAGATGCTGTACCCCATATCTGTATACCGTAGGTCCAAACTGGCTTTAGAACACATTTATACAGTAATAATTTATTATGTAGACTTAGTTTGGATTTTTTATTCA